ATGATTTTTGAGTAAAAAATACCTCAACAGAGATCCGGGAATTGGTGAGTCGCAGGCTAGGAAGGGGGAGGCCAGGCGACGGTCGGTGCGTTGGGAGGCGGCCAAGCGTGGCTGGATTGCTGGCGTCGCGGCTGGACTGCTGGAGGCGCGGCTGTGGATTGAGTGTAGGGAGAACGGGAGAAATAAATAGGTTTAGGGTTACGTGCTGATAACGTGATGTAGGGGAAGTGAGAGAGGTGTGTTCATTCCGTTAGTAAGCCCCCTTTAAATAGGATGGATTAGGGTTTTACAAGGAATGAGCCAATGGGCCAATTAGCCCAATACATATAATCCCTAGATACACTTTCTATCTATAACGAATGCACATTAAAGTAATTTTGTTCAACAAGATTATGAAAATGTGTAATGAGTCGAATTCGATATTAGTTAAAAAAAACTCATACATTAATATAAATAAAATGCAGTTAAAGTAAAACGCATTAATAAAGTAAGCAATAAATCATACTCCCTCCGGTCCTTATTAAACTTTACATTTTGACTTCACACATATTAAGGAAATAAATTTGATTTTACTGTAGAGTACACTGTTTGGCACTGTTTGGCACTGTTTAGCATTGTTTTGCACTGTTTGGTGTAGATTTGTTTGCCAAATAAGGCACATAAGGAAGTGTACAGTTTAATATGAGACGACCCAAAAAGGAAAGTATAAAGTTAATTAAGGACCGGAGGGAGTACTAGCTAGAACTAAAAACAAATTAAGGATATATATACTACTTCCGTCCAACTAACATTGGAATATGAACAAGTAGTGCGATTACAACAACAACAACAATAACATCCAAGCCTTAGTCCTAAAATATATTGGGGTCGGCTAACATGAATCGATACATGATATCACCACCAAAAGGAAAAGAAAGAAAATAAAGATAAAAAAGATAAGCTATTATAAAAAAATATAAAAAGAGATGAATATACATAAAAATGATAAAATAAAAAGGATACAAATAATGCTTATATATATAAGGATAAAAAACAAGGAAAAAAGATGAGGGAAAAAGATGATATGAGATCACTCCTCCACATGAATACCCGCCCTCCACTTAGCTCTCTCCAAAGTCATGCCCTCATCCAACCCTAGAAGAAGCATATCACTTCTAACTCCCCTAACCCACGTCTGTTTGGGTCTTCCTCTCCCTCTCTTCCCTGCCTCTTCTCCACACATCTCAACTCATCTGAAAGGTGCATCACTCGGTCTTCTATGCACATGACCAAACCACCGTAGGCGCGACTCCCGCATCTTGTCTTCAATATGTGCTACTCCCACCCTTTGTCTGATTGTCTCATTTCTCATGCGGTCCTTCCTAGTATGCCCACACATCCAACGCAATATGCGCATCTCTTCCACACTCATCTTTTGAATGTGACATTGTTTCACCGTCCAACACTTTACGCCATACAGTAATGCAGGCCTAATTGATGTCCTATAAAATTTACCCTTCAGTCTAGTCGGCATACCTCGATCGCATAGAAGTCCTGACGCACTCTTACGCTTCATCCACCATGTTCTGATTCTATGGGATACATCTCCATTTAACTTGTCGTCCTTCTGAATTATGGAGCCCAAGTAACGGAACATATCGTTAACTGGTATCTCCTTACCATCCAGAGTAATTCCACTATTACCATTGCTTCTACCTTCACCAAACTTGCACTCCATGTACTCTGTCTTGTTCCGAATTAGTTTAAAACCCTTATTCTCCAATGTTTGTCGCCATACTTCCAACTTTGCTTTAAGACCTGATTGCGTATCATCAATCAATACAATATCGTCGGCAAACATCACGCACCACGGTATATCATCTTGAATTGACTTCGTAAGTTCATCCATGACTATGTCAAATAAGAAAGGGCTCAGAGCCGATCCTTGGTGCACTCTGATAGTAATAGGGAACTCTTCAGTCCTCCCTACATTAGTACGAACACTTGTAGTACAATCCTCATACATATCCATGATGATGCTGATATACTTGCGTGATATGACTTTCCTAGTTAAGGCCTACCAAAGAACTTCTTGAGGTACCCTATCATATGCTTTTTCTAAGTCAATGAACACCAAATGCGGATCCTTATGAGCGTCTCTATACTTTTTCATAAGTTGCCGAAGAAGATGAATGGCCTCAGTTGTTGAGCGACCAGGCATAAAACTGAATTGATTCTCTGAAATCTTCACAGTTCTTCAAAGTCTTTTCTCAATCACTTGCTCCCAAAGTTTCATGGTGTGACTCATAAGCTTAATCCCTCGATAGTTGGCACATTCTTGTACATCACCTTTATTCTTAAATAAGAGGATAAGAGTACTCTTCTTCCAACTCGTTGGCATCTTGTTGTTTCTCCAAATCATGTTGAAGAAACTTGTTAACCACTCGATGCCTCTCTCTCCCAAACTTCTCCAAGCCTCGATCGGTATGTCATCTGGACCCACTGCTTTCTTCCGTCCCATATTCCTCAGAGCTTCTTTAACTTCCATTGTTTAGATCCTTCTCACAAAATCACGATTTACCATACAATCTGGTATGGACAAATCACCGATATCTTGTGTTTTGTTCCCGTTGAATAGTGTATCAAAGTATGACCTCCACCTCTCTTTTATCTCTCTGTCATCCATTAATATTCTCTTATCGCCATGATATCATTTTTTTGGTATCATGCATGTCCCAAGCCAGGATAAAGGAGGAGGGTGTTGTGGTAGGCGTGTGACGGCCAACAGTATCACCTAATCACATCACATGACATGAATCGAAATATGAACAAGTAGTGTGATTATTAAGAAAAAAAATTATGTGATTGATATTGAATTGATAAAGTAAGAATAATGTAAATATCATTTAAAATCATACGAGTTTTACTAAATCCTTAAAAATGAGTTTATTATTCTCATAGGACGGAGTAATCATACATTCATACCAGAGATGATTAAGAATGGGTTCGGTAGCTCAATATGGCCTTTTATACTTTAGTAATTGCATATTAAGTCAAATAACAACAGGATTGAGTAGCTTTTGGGGTATTTCAATTCGAAATTTATCAATATACTACGTATATGGCCTTGCTTAGTAAATGTCTTATCGATCATTTTTAGCTGATTTGGCCATTCAAAATAGATGTTTGGTATGTAAAATAACTTTTCAATATAATTTCTTTATGCCAAAAGTCAATTCAGACCATGTTGTTCATATTGGCGTTTGGAATCAGATTGATCATTATAGCATCTCCATTGCAAAAGTATCCACGATGCATGTGTGACAATAAAGTTATATATAACAAAACAATTGATTAATAAAAAGTTGGGTCTATATATCTCTTGACATTGTGTTTGACTTTTTGTATAAAAAGTTGTCAAAATTAGTTACACCGTAGAAAGGATGCGAGAGGCTTTCAATTAGTTATATTTTTTGGGTCTATATATCTCTTGTCACGCGTGCACAGTTGAGAGCTTTGCATTGTAGATACTCTAAGGTGGCGATAATGTGGCATATGTCATACTTGTTATGCTTTTCATTTGGCCCTCTTTCTTTGTTTTTTCTTTCCAAAAATTTAAGTTATTTTGAGTTTACATAATTGAAAAGGTTAATTACTTTGGAAAATTATAAAAAGAAAAATTCCACTAATGTTATTCTTGGAAAAATGATGGATAAACATGTGACTTAGTAACTATTAATGACTATAATTGTGTTCAAAATTTGCATCGTAGTAACTCCATGTAAGTGACTACAACGTAAACTTTGAACACAATTATAGTCATTAATAGTTACTCAGTCATTTTTTCATGACTTTTTATTAGTACGTACTACATAGTAATATTTAAGGAAAAACCCCGTGACTATAATTGTGTTGAAATTTTACATCATACTTCCTCCGGTTCTTATTTAAGTTCTTAGTTTGACTTCACACATATTAAGAAAATGAATTTGACTTTACTGTGGAGTGCACTGTTTGGCACTGTTTGGACACTGTTTGACACTGTTTGGCACTGTTTTACACTGTTTTGTTTCCTAAAATGGAAGTGTGAACTTAAATAAGGGACATCCCAAAAAGGAAAGTGGGAACTTTAATAAGAACCGGAGGGAGTAATAACTACAAGTAGTCACTACGATGTAGACTTTGAACAAAATCATAATAAATAATAGTTATTAAATCACATTTTTGTCCATCACTTTTACAGAAATAATATTAATGGAATTATTTAAAATAATAATTGAATCTAATTTATATAATGAAATAACTTTTTAGTAGATCAATTATTAGAAATTAAAGATTTGATATAATGAAACTCTAAGTATGTGATAATTAAATCGAACTATCATATAATAAGTTTGATAAATTCACATGCATGTGTTTTACATGTAATGCATGTTGATATTTTAACATCCAATAATCACAAACATCTAATACGGAGTATTTTCAAACACTTGAAGAGAATCAACAAACCCAATCCTAGAGTCAAAACCGCTAAATCAATCAATCAAATTTGCTAATTCAACCATCCAATCGGTAACAGCTGATTAACAAACATGATCGATCGATCATAGCTTTTGAATAAGAGCTGATTGTGCTGACTCATAAAGATATTTAATATTTTGGAACTTTATTTTTCCTTCTTTTCTATTACAATTTGTGCATTTCTTATTTATCAAACCGATTAATATATATTGTAACGGAATCAGCTAGCTATCCTAGCTAGCTAACACTACAACATGATGATATGCATGATCAAATTTGTGGTTTAAACGCGCGCGCGCAATAAATTGAAGAATTAAGAGATCGATGTACGTCAATAGACGACGCGAGTCAGAAATTTACTCTCTCCCTCACAAAGCTACGTACCAACCAACAACTGTCCTTCCTTCCTAATTAACCATCTATTTATTGTGTGATCAATGATTTGTAACCGGCACCTCCTAAACCTTCTCTTAACCAGCCTTCAATGGCTGCTTCTCCTCCTTTTTCCAACCCTGGCCTTGTCATTCTAAAATGCAGCTTAGACCAGCAGGATGGCCGCCATTTGGAGATTTCCTTCCATTCTTCCTCTACTCCTCGGCCTCCTGTCTCTCTTTCCCACCCACCCAACCACCTTGATCATCGCTGCCAATGCCCCCTCCGCCACCCTCTCTAATGATGGTGACCTCCCCATTTTCCGCGAAGCCCCCGCGTTTCGCAATGGTGACGCATGCAATGACACGAACCTGATCCACATCGCCATGACCCTCGACGAGAACTACATAAGAGGGACAATGGCAGCCGTGTTTTCCATCCTTCAGCACTCAACGTGCCCGGAGAACGTCGTCTTCCATTTCCTGTGGGCCCACCACCACCCGGAGGTCTTCTCCATCATCAACTCCACCTTCCCGTACCTCAGATTCAACGTTTACCGCTTTGACACCACAAAGGTCCAAGGCCTGATATCGAAATCCATTCGTCAAGCGCTAGACCAGCCGTTGAACTACGCAAGGGTCTACCTCGCTGACATACTTCCGGCGGAAGTGAAACGTGTGATATACCTCGACTCCGACCTCGTCGTGGTGGATGACATCATGAAGTTGTGGGAAGTGGACAACGGCGAGAGGGTTTTGGCCGCGCCAGAATATTGCCATGCAAACTTCACCCTTTACTTCACAGACGAGTTCTGGTCAGACCGTAAACTGGTCGACGCATTCGACGAAGGGAAAAAGAAGAAGATCGTGGCATGGAAGCCGTGTTACTTCAACACGGGGGTGATGGTGGTGGACGTGGAGAAATGGAGAGAAGGAGGATATACAGAGAGAGTGGAGGAGTGGATGTTGGTGCAAAAACAGAAGAGGATTTACCACCTCGGCTCTTTGCCACCTTTCTTGCTGGTCTTTGCTGGGGACATAATGGCCGTTGACCACCGATGGAACCAACATGGCTTGGGCGGCGACAACATCGAAGGCAAATGCAGGAGCTTGCACCCCGGTCCGATCAGCTTGCTCCATTGGAGTGGGAAGGGCAAACCATGGCTGAGATTAGATTCCGGGAGGGCTTGCAATGTTGATCATTTGTGGGCTCCTTATGATCTTTATCGTTCTTCCAAGCATTCTTTTGAAGACTGATATATCTATCATCAACGACTGGTTCTTGCATGCATGCATGTGTCTGTGGGGAGTACTTGGAAATTCAAGGATGTGGGGGGTACTGAGGTCGTAGTCTATAAGGACACCAGAGATCGAATACATACCAGGTCAAATGGACAAAAAAAAGTTGAAAATTTTCAAAGTTTTGAGTTATTATTGTAATTCTATGTACAGTTTGGTTTGATGTACTCTAATTAATTAGGCGTTTTATTTATGTATATTAAAAGTAACCATTTGCATGTCGATTATACATACGGAGTATATAAAGTTATCTTCCCATCTTGTGTGCAATGTGATATATATCTCCAATTAGTAATTACTAAGAAGTATATATTTTACATTTTTACACTGAGCAATCCCGCATTGACTAATATAAATACATGTACAGATTAAACGTTCCATAACATCTTAAGTTCTTATGGTATATACATATTATACACATCAAAAGCACAAGGGAAATGATTAAAGATTAAGATTTAAGACCCTAAGACATTCTGTAATTGTGACATCTAGAAATTGGTCACGTTACTATACCAATATTATATCCTTTTCCTGGTGTTTGGAGAATGTTGTAGGATTTTATTGCTTTGGTTTAATTAGAGAGAATTAGATATTAAAGGACACTCCTTAATTCTGATGTGGTAAAATTACTCTAGTAAGTGGTGGGGCTAGGTGGTGGTGCATCCCTACCTTCAACAATAAAATAAAAATGGTGCTAATAATCCTAATATAGTTAATTGGATGATATCCTAACCATTTCATCTTGGATCTAATTAGTGAGATCAACTAATCATGACTCCGTGGACTATTTACTTGTAGTATATCCATTGGAACAAAAAAATATCAAGCAATTTAGAAATTCACCTTCACTAATCACTATGTTGGTCCTTACACTCGTGACATATCCTTGGATTTCAGCGATAATGTAAAATGGAGGGGGGGGGGGGGGGGGGGGGGGGGGGATAACTAATAAGCGCTGAAATGAGATAATAAGCAGAGTGGCAGTTCTGAGTTCAGAGTATGTTGTAATCTTAATGCCTTCTGAGTCTTTGAGCCAGAATGTCCACAAACATGGCACCATCTCACGTGTAGATCATATAAGAAGGCAAAATGACCATTTACATGCTAGAAATGTGAGAATGCTTTCAGAATGAAAGGGTGGAGGCATGGGTTGCACTAAACAATCCAAACCTGCAAACCATTTCAGGTCAGTGCTATTTACAGGTCTTGAATTTGTAGCTCCGAAAATAGGCTTATGAAACAACCAGCCTAGAACTCATCCTGTGACGGTGGTGCATTTTTAGCTCTCACATGTGAAACCGTTGGATCCCAAACAGCTATCCAGATAATGCATGTCTGTCTTCTTAAGTACAGGGTAAAAACAAAAACTAAATGCAGGTTAGTGACGGTAGGTCCGAACCACCTTTTCAATCCGTCTGCGGCACAGCGGGCAATGTGTCAAGTGTGAAGAGCATGCCAAGCAACAGCACATATGCCCACAACTGAATCAAAATATGAAATGAATAAGAGAGTGTTGTAATTATTGAATGTTAATACCCAAAGTACCCTCCAAAAAACTTCAATATGCATTTGTCTGTGTGTGCAAGTGTAAATACAAATATATTAATAAATATAAAACTAAGAAACTCTAGCAAATAGGATTCGAACATGAGTCAGTGCACAAATAAGACCGTTCCTGTTTTATGCCTAAAGGGGGACTTAATCAGTCCTATAAGAGGATAAAAGTAGTTGTTAATTCTTCTCGGAGTTTTACTTTCCAAATAAATCAATAACGAGCCTATTTAGAACATGTATTAAGTTTTAGTTTTCTTAATTAAGTTTTTCTGAAAATAAATATAAATAATTATATTTAAACAACTAGTAGACACAAACACACACATGTATTTAAATTGTAATCAACATAATATCACATTAGTACCTTCTTCTGGTCATTTTAAATTAGAACAACTTCAAACACTCAGAAGAGATTCTTTCATACTGCATAAGTTCATAACCAATGAAAAAACTCAAAAAAGAATCATTTTGAGTCTTTTGACATGCAAGTACAAGTTCTGATTATGACTCTGATTCTAAAGAAATCAGACATTTTTCTTTTTGAAATTAGTGAGAGCCTTACTCGAGAAAAACTGAATTGTATTCCTCCACCAAGCATATCACACATAAATCCGGCGTTAACCCGTCATTTTTATTGTTTGATCCACTTTCCACTCTTGCACCTGCAAACATTAATAGATTCAGAGCCAAGCAACTTTTGAACAAGTAATCGGTTCACAACAAAGTAAAAAAGAATAAAAACCAACATAGGAGCTACCTTCATCTTCTTGCCCAGGTCTTTTTGCAGCAGCAGCACGAACTCTACATTGACAAATGAGTTACTCAATGTTAGGATCAACCGAGAACGGATCTGCTGCTTGTCCTAGGACAAGAGCACATGTTTGTCCCAATATCAGCAGTCTGATTAAATATCAGACCATTGCAATCCAACAAACAACAGTCAACCCAATTGGATGGCTGAGATTGGGACATGTAGCCAAGAAACAGATTGTGATTTATTAGGACCAACCAAGAAACAATCAACCGATAAATAGGGGAAAGGAAGTAGAAGTTTTTTAATTACTCGTGCAGTCGTGCATAAAAGTAAACAACACGTTTGGATTTATTTAGTGGTCATAATTTAATTAATGGGAAATGCATACGGATAACTAAATGAATAAATGACTCGCTAAGAATTACATACTATCATGTTCGGAATGATAGGAATTCACCATATTATCGAAAAATACTCAAAACCCACGGTATGTGGGACTGTGGGAGGATGCAATGCCCATCATGGCAGGATATGAGTATATGATATAATCAGGAATCATGTGACAATCCAAACAAGGCCATAGAGCAGGTTAAGTGTCATAGGGAGAGAATACAAGAGTGTAAAGCATGCATTGACATACTTAACATATTCAGTATATATAAGTATTAACTATACCTCAGCACCACTTAGTTATGTTACAATGTACCTATTACGATATTCCAAACGACGCCTTCTTCCCATGATGTACTGAAAAGCATGTTTTGCAAGGAGATAAACACCAAAAACAGTAAATCCCATTGAAGCATACTTGTACCACCTGAAAAAGGGAAATATCTATCAAATACTGTTACAACCAGTAAGTGTACAGATATTCAGATATTTAAATGAACATTTAAAGGATGGTTACCATATACAAAGAGTAACTGATCGGTTTATTGTGAAACTATCCACAGTTAAAAGACATGTTTACCTTGCCCATCTCCCAAGATTATTGACGAGCTGATCTATCGTTTTAGGAGAAACATAAAATGGCCCTTTACTCGGCTTCTGGATCCGAATTGTACCTATATCATCTCTAACTGCCTGATTATAAAAGAACAAAAATGTTGAATTTGTAAACCCCCTTGCTAATCAAAGATTTTGCAAAAAAAAAACAAAAAAACATGTGAAACGGTATAGGGTTACTATACATAACTACATATTAGCTCAACCAACTCTTAAAAACTTCCAACTGATTACATAGAGTTAAAAATATCTCCTTACACTGTAGGTTTGTAGCAAACATATACTTCGTATTTTAAAATTCCAATGCCTCATAAAAGAGGCTCTGCATGCAGAAAGAAGTGCAATACACTAAAATCTCCATCCAAACATACTCTATGTAAGAATAACCTCTATGGATTATTAAAAAAAATTGGTACTAAATTTGGGCCGATTATATATAGGAACAACCTCTAAGGTGTAAATGTTATCAAAATTTTCAAGTCTCATTTTAAAAAATACACCTCTATATATTGATATTTAATTATTTATATATATATATATATATGTGTGTGTGTGTGTGTGTGAGTGTATGTGTATATACACACACATATATATTCACACACAAAAATCACAAACACACTCTTTATGAAACTCCCTCCGTCCAAAATATAAGATAGATTTGGGTCTGGACCAGGTTTCAAGAAAATACTTGTTATTTTATGATTGTAACCGTCAAGAGGAAAGCAAAAGTAGTATGAGTCCAGAAAAAGTAAAGAGTAAATCGATAGATAAAAGGAAGTGAAAAAGTAGAAAGTTATAGGGGAAAATAATTTAAATATCCCAAACTTCGAAGGGGTGTGAGGTAAGCACCCCAAACTTGAACATATAATATATACTCGAATCTTTAAATAAAAAGTTATGTAAGCACCATGATCATATGTTTTTTCTCAAGTGTAATTTTATGGTGTTAAGTACATAACTTAAAGGGAAAATTGTCAATTAAGTTCATCTACTTTCACTAAAAGGTCAATTGAGTCCAAACACTTTAAAATGAATCAATCAAGTCCACAAACCGTTAAAAATGATCAACTTTGCTATTTAGCCGGTTGAATGGAGGTAGTGCCGGTTATAGCTCACTTGGACGGCCACGTGGTGATAATTTTAAATTTTTTTCTTTTTTTTCTTTTTACTTTTCCATTTTCTTTCATTTGGATTCTTCTTCCACTCAGTTTGCATCAGACCGATCGTTCTTCTTTTCTTCCTTGATTTTATTCTTTAGTCCATTCTTTCCGGTTCTCTTTCTTTCCGTAGAAGGGTACCGGTCGTCGCCGATCGTAGCACATAGCTTCCCTGATTTTCGCTCCGCAGCACCCGGCACTCAAAACTTCCCCATCCGCCGCCCGTCACCAACCGGCAACCGCCCGCAACCTCTCTGGCCTACGCCACCCGTCACCCACAACTTCTCTGGCCTACGCCACCCGTCGCCCACAACTACAGCTCCATCTGCGTCGCCGACCGCCCTTGTCCACAAATTCCCCAACCACCTCCACCCATCGCCCACATCTTTTTCAACCCGCCAACAGCCTCCAGCTGTCGTCCATCTCCCACATCATCCCCAACTGTCGTCGCCTTCCGCCCGTCTCCGTTATCTTTGTGAACCTCCTCCGCTCGCTGCCTTTCAAAAGTAAGAGAGTCAGGATTTAGGAAGAAACGAATTGCAGGAGTAGTTAGTGTCGAAGCAGGGAGAAGAAAATGAACGAGTGAAGAAGAAAGAGAGAATGAAAAAGAAAAAGCAAAGAAAATGAAAAAATAAAAACAGGAACACTAAAAGAGTCCATTAGACTTCCACGTAAGCGTGAAAAGGGTTACCTGTTGATTACCGACTAAATAACCAATTTGACCGATTTTTAACGGTTTGTGGACTTGATTGATTCATTTTGAAGTACAAGGACTCAATTGACTTTTTGGTA